TCATAAATCAAAGCTTTTGTTGTTTCTAGGTTTGCTTATTCAATTCTGCATTGAAGTTACAAGGCAAATGCAGCGAACAAGAAATAGGAGCTTACAGTTACCAGATTTACATCTTGCAAACTGCACATCTTAATCACATTCACATTAAAACTAGGAAGCAACCGGTTGAGGTAATGGGGAAAGTATAATGAGCACAACATTAACCAACGACTGAAGAAAAACAATAGAAAAACTGGGCTTTCCTCTAAAACTATAAATGCATAAAAAGGAAAACTGCCTTTGAGAAGTTTCTGTAGGTCATCAGAGCACATGTTTCTTTTCTTAGCACTTCATTAACATTGTCTAATTACTTCCTTTCTCAGGGGACTCATGACTGGTACTAATTAAAAAAAAAAAAAAAAAAAGGAAGAATCCAGAGAGATTGAGTAACTGTCGTTCTGTTCCACATAAAAAAAAAAAAACCTCCCGTATCCAACCACAGCACCACATTGAGGAAAAGGAAGTCTCCACCTCCAGGACTCAGCACTCACCTCTACATTCACAAGAAGACCAGACCCGAGCCAGTTAAGAGAAGTAAATTTTATTTCCTCACTCTGTACACGATGGATCATATCAGCATGGATGTTACGGATGGGCAAATATTAACACAAAAAAGTGATCAAAGAAAAAAGAAAAGGCACGTTTCCATTTTTTTGTACAAGGACACTGTGAGGCTACCTACTTATGCAAAAAAATAAAAATAAAAAATTGCACAGTAATACTGTTAATATAATAAACAAAACAAAAAAAAATCAAACAAAATTTGCAAAACTTAAATTATTTGAATACTTCTGAAATAGAGGAGTCTAAAAACGTTTCTTGGAGGAGAGAAAAACCAAAATAGGAGGAGGTTTAATTCACCGTTATCATTCAAAAGCATCATCATTCAGAATTGATAAGAATCGAAAGTGGCAAAGCAGCAGAAGACCTGATCCTGCGTTCACACTCTCCAACATCACTCCAGGCTATTGTGGATGTGACCCGGCTAGCGTTTTTTTTCCAAATTTATTTTATATTTAATAAAAAAAATTTTAATAAAAGACGTCATGGTCACCAAAATGTAGTGGAGTATAAATTAAACAAATCAACGACCATGTGTACACAATATGTGGTTTAAATCACAATAAAAGAAGGAGAAAATTCAAACCATTTTTCCCCCTCAAACATGAAACTAAACACAGGTAGACCTGGTATGATTAATTTCCCAGAGCGGATCATTTGGATTTGTAGATTTACCCTGGCATAATTTACATTTATTTATTAAAAGTATCAAATCTAATTTCATATTTAATTTGTGGCTGGAAACGTGGCTGTATGTTTCAAGCTTACACAGGAAATTCATGAGGTCCCGTAACCATCACTTTTGAACTTGGTCGCGGGATCGCACTGAGGTCACACTAACAGCAACGTGAAATAATAAAGATGGCAGTGAGCAGCACGTTTGACAAATTTGAAGCATAGTGATTGACAACCAGCAAACATGACGATGCAGTTAGAGTGGTGAAAATTTTAAGCAAATTGCATTATTACTCACTGTGACAAGTAACAGACTTGCACGATAAAATCTTAAAGTCTTTATACCATATTTGTACCACTCGCTTAAATACGTTAAGATTTTGTATCCATTGTTTTACTGGCACAAAAAGTATTGTGATATATACTGTGCAGTATCACAATTTTGGCTGTACAGCCCATGTCTATTGGTGTGTCTGCATGTGTGATTAGAACATGAACATCCTGTAAAAGTGTTTGAAGTGTGTGAAGGCTAGAACAGTAAGATTGTAATTGCAAAGTAAATACAGGAGTCATATTGAGCCCCACTCACTAGGTGTTACCAGTGAAACCGTGTCAGATCGAGGCAGGAATGGCATGTGAACGCAGGGTCAGGAGGAAGAGCGCTCTTGGTCAGATCATGCGCATAGGCAACCAGCAGGCATTTTTATCCCTTTTTAGAAAATCCATTTCTTTTTTTTCTTTTTACTACAGTTCATTTTAAAATACAGTAAAGGATTGATTCATTGGCTAGCTTAAAAAAAAGGCAGACCCCCCCGAGTCTGAATGCTACTAAACACTAAATTAATCATTTACAAACAAACACTGCCGATGTGCAAAAACCAGCTAAATGACATGGGTTGAGCTCAGTGGAAACAAAGGCAAAGCAGAAAGCAGCATTAATCACAGACCAAATCCAACCAGTGAAGCATGCTTCCTCATGAGGCCGTGTGCAAAAACTCCTGCTCACATCAGTACAGAAGGTATAGTGCACATGCAACCCTAAAGCACGCTCATATCACAGGGATTAATCAGTACTGGATTGAAGAAGCCTCCCAGAGAAACCTACCTTGACCGTTCTAAAGCCACAACCATTTCACACACTACACCTGATATTTACACATCGTGTATCATCATGGCACAAATAAAAAAAGGCTACAGCTGTAGACTAGTTTCACACACAATGTTTGTTTTTGAGATGCATCCTGAATTATTATTGAATTCATATGGTGTACTCTGCACTGTAAAGAAAACTGCAAGGGAGAAACTGAAGCCTCAATCAAAGTTGATTCGGACTGCTTAGGTCTCATGAACACGCTGAGCAGAGGGAGCAGTCAGGCTCACTAGGGTGGGGGTGGGGTATGGACCACACTGTGGAAAATGAAAACATTACATTTTAACCCAGTCCTCATTTTGAAAACTCCTTTTATTTTTCAATGAGACTGTCTCTCCTTCTTAATGCGTTTTGGCTTGTCAACAGTCAAAGCTAGCTTTCCTGGAGGAGGAAAAAAAAAAAAAAAAAAAGAGGCAAGAATGACTAGGTGTGACAACAAGCCAGAGTACTCACACCTCACCTTGGCACAAGGACAGCTGGAAATAACAGCACATTGAAGGGCAGACAAAAAAATACCGATTTGGGAATCGATACCAGGGAAAAGGGATTAGGAACTACTCAAGTTTAGAGCTGTAAACAGTCAGAAGCCGCGCAAATGGTTTGCTCGAGAGATGCGCTCCGTGGCAGAGCCTCAAGCAGGCAAGTGCGATTCCGGTGGTGACGACGGCAGGGCAGCCAGCAGGTCGAGAAGGGCACAGACAGGACAACACCCAGGTCATTCACTCTCGTCTGGGTTTTGGGAATCCAATATTTTCACATGGGTGAACGGAAACAAGCCTCTCCGGCCGTTCACTTCACCTTCCCACTGACCGCTGATGTTCATCCGGGTTACCTTCACGAGATCACCCACCTGTGGAAACACCACATCACCAGTTACTCACTTACAGTGCCTTACACAGAAATATAAATAGGCTAGGAAGGACTTGATATGCTGAGTGTGTGCGCTCAATTTTATATTTTATATAAAGAGTCCCAACACACTCCCTTCAAACCATAAAACTCAAATCCATCTCTGCTATATTCAGTGATCTATATAAGAATTGAGCATGGCAGCATAATTTATACAGTTGGTTTGTATAAAGTATTCAGACCTCTACACCTTTTTTTCAAAATCTACTGTATTATAGATTTAAGTTTGTGAAATGTAACTACTACTACTCCTCTCTCTATTTAACTACTACTACTATTTTACTATTTAATGGGCAAGAAACAAAAACACAACACGGATTGCTGCTCAATCTAGACTTCCTCAATCATCAACACAACAAAAGTAGTGCTAACTATTATATTAGAATATCAAATTTGTGCTGTGTATAGATCTTGCAGAATGAACACAAACTGTGGCACCGGGTGACGAATTATTGACTCAGTCATCCTACAAGTTTACTGCTCATCACAATTTTGTGCATAGCAGGCAGTTCAAATATGTTCATCCATTCATCCATCCAGCTAAAGTATGGAGTAGGGAGAAGTCACCCCAGATGGGACACCAGTCCCTCACAGGGTATCATGCGTGTACACACATTCACACCAAAACACGATCTAGCATAACCAGTCCACTTGTATGTATGTTTTGGGACAGTGAGAGGAAACCGGAGGAACCAGAAGAAACCCACTTGAATATGGGGAGAACATGCCAAACTCCACACAGACAGTCAAACCCAGGACCCTGGAGCTCTGCACTGCCCCAATATGCGTGCACTAAAGAAAACTCACTGTTTCACTTCCTTTTAAAAATCCTGTTGGCAAACCAGCAATTATCTCCAGTGGTTTTCTCCTGAAATTTCTCACGTCATTTGTGAGGAAGTTCTAGAGAAATTCACTGCCATCGCCGGTTTGCCAGCCAGATATAAAAACACCAACACCGCCATGCTCGATTCATATTTCACTAAATATAGCAAAGAACCCAGAAAAGATGTGTGAAGAAAACAGAACCAAAAATAACTGTTCCAATTTACAGTTTTCACCTCTAGGCTATGACACGCCCTGGGATTTATCTTCCCTTCCATTCACACACAACATTGTGCACAACTTTTGAGTATACATGGTCATGTGAAAAAATAAATACCCCCCATGGAAATTGTTGGCATTTTTGATACATCTGAATAAGCAAACATTTGATCCTCTTTGAAACAGCACCTATTAAGTTGATACACTAACAAATGACATCAAAACGATATTTTGTAGTCATTTTCACAATTAAAAACGAAAAAAAAAAAAAAAGATCAGTTACATAGAAAAGTAAGTACACCCCTACATTTATCACATGGTCAAATCTATCAAATTAGAATCAAGTGTTCAAGATTGGGTGCCAGTGATTAGGACCTGCTGAAGGAGTGCAGGTGTTATTTATACCCCTGTCATATCTAGTGTCTGGTTTTCCCTTTTATATTGAGGTGTGTGGTGTCTTCATGTCAAGATCTAAAGAGCTCTGTAAGCCCTTCAGAAAAAGGTTGCGAATGCCTATTAGTCTGGCAAGGGATAATTCTCCAAATTATCTGAAACACATCATTCCACTATAAGGCAAATAATCTACAAATGCCACAGATTTCAATCAACTGCCAATTTGTCCAGGGCAGTGGTAGTTCAGTGGTTAAGACATGGTATTACTGATGGGAAGGTCGTCAGTTCAAATCCCTGGACTGCTGAGCTGTCACTGCTGGGCCCTTAACCCTCAACTCAGTTGTATAAATGAGATAAATGTAAGTTGGGGCATCTACCCCAAAATTTCATCACAGGATCTGCTAGTAAGTCTTGCAACTGTTGGTGTCAAAGTGCATGCTTGTACAATCAGAAAGAGATTGCACAAATTTGACCTGCATGGGAGATGAGCCAGGAAAAAGCATTTGCTGTCTAAAAAGTACAAGACTACAGTTTGCCAAAGAGCATATAGGCTAAGACCAGTCCTTTTGGAATAATGATTGGACGAATGCATGAAAGATAGAGTTGTTTGGCCAAAGCAACAACAGACATGTTTGGCATAGACCAAAGACAGCTTTTCAGGAGAAGCACCCCATAACAACTGTGAAGCACGGTAGTGGAAGTGTTATCGTTTGGGGCTGCTTCACTGCCTCAAGGACTGGACAGCTTGCACTCATTGACTCAACTATGAATTCTACATCATATCAAAGAGTGCTCAAAGATAATGTGAGGCCATCTGTCCAAAAGTTGAACCGAAAGTGGACCTTTCAACAGGATAATGATCCTAAGCACACTAGTGAATCCATCAATAATTGCACAAAAAGAGGCAATGGAGGGTTATGGAATGGACTAGTCAAAGCCCGGATTTGAATCCGATTGGCATGTTGTGAGGGGATTTGAAACAGGCCGTACATGCCAGAAAATCCTCAAACATCGTGCAACTGAAAGAATATTGCATGGAAGAGTGGTCAGAAATTCCAGCAAGCCTGGTGGACAATTATGCAAAACACCTACAAGAATTAATTTCTGCTAAAAGGGGCAATACTAGCTTCTGAGGCCAAGGGTGTACTTACTTTTTCAACATAATATTACATCTATTGATATTTCTGTTGAATAACTGATTGAAAAGGCTAAATTTCCTTGTGGCTTTGCTCAAGTGTATCAACTTTATTAACAGTTACTGTTTCAAAGATGATCAAATGTTTGCTCAAAAAAGCCTTATTTTTTCCACAAATCTATAGACGTGTACAACACATTAAGGATGAGTCCATGTTCTTGAATATGCTCTTACTAAAAAGACAAATCTTTTTGAATGCCACAACCTGCTGCACTACACAGGTGATCTGGCTGTTGAGATTTATTTATTTATTTATTTCGTTTACATATCTTCATGAACCTCTCTTGGTATGACGACATCATTTTCCACAACACATGTATCACGAGAAGCAGGAGAAAGTTATGGGACACAGAAGTGGTCCACTGCTGCGCAGAATAGCACAAAAGTAAGATATATGCACTTGGATTCAGATAGCAGTGTGCCCAGAGCGAAAACTACTTTTAAAAAAAATTATTTGTCCAACCCTGAATATAAAAACCACATTAATACGGATGACATTTCCACTTACGGATCATTCATTTCCACTTAAGATGGGATGAGAGAAAAAGCAAACAATAAAGGACAGATCGTATATGTAGTGGACATTAAGGGATAGATACATAGTACAGTCGTTATTTGTATTTTTTTAAGCAGACAGTTGAAGTCAGTGCTCTGGTACAACATAACGTGCATGCTGTGGTGTAGTCACTTATTTGAAATACTGATTTTCCTCTCTGCAGCCCTTTTTTCCCCAAATTGGTGTGCGCGCGTCTCTGCACTCCATTTATCCGCCTGAGCTAAGAAACAGAGGGAAGAGCTGGAACTTGTAGGATCAAAGGATTTAAAGAATGGAATTTTGCTCAGGACTTGATCCAACTCGTCCTAAACCCTTCTTTTGCAGAAAGGTGTCCCAGGCCTCAGTGTTTCAAACAGCCCTGCCCCAATAATATTATCGGGTTGATTGTGGAAATGTATGTGATTCTGCTGTAATGCGCTGTAAACTGATTTTTAAAAGCAAAAACAAAACATTTTGATAAAATATTAATACAAACCGCTGTCTAATGTTCACATAGCTGACACTTCGCTGTGTTGAGCAGAAGAGCATAGATCAAATTCTAATTATTATCACCTTGAAGATTAGTGTTAAATATGACACTTCAATGTAGGCCGACATAATCTTTCTGGTCAAAATACTTGTCCTTTTTTCTCAACCATGCCCTTTTCTTAGTGCTGGTTGATTTTCATGATTAATTTGGTTAATACAAATAATGCAGAGTAAATCTGGTGAGAAGTGTTTTGTAGTAGACATTTGTATATATGTGTAGACGCATATATATATATATATATATAAAAATTTTTTTATAAAATGTACAAATATATGCATATGCAAAATTTTAAAGAAATACAAGGCAAAAACATGTCTCCAGTTATATAGAGCTTTTTTAACCTAAACAGTTCAAAGCACTTTCCACTGGGTTCAAAGCACTTTCCACTCAGTCACCCATTCACACACACCAGTGGTAGCAGAGCTGCTATGCAAGGCACTAGCTTGCCATCAGGAGCAATTTGGGGTTCAGTGTCTTGCCCGAGGACACTTTGGTATGTGGAGTCGTGTGGACTGGGAATCAAACCGAAAACCCTATGATTAGTGGACAACCCACTCAACCACCTGAGCAAAAGCCGCCCCTGATAACCGCCTCCTACAGTCGGTGCTGTCCCCCAACAGCACACTTAGTCAGCACTTCACCAAGTAATGAGCTTGTAACAAAGAAAGGTTTCACTTCACATTGTTATGGGAATTGGTATAGGTTTGAATCACACGAACAAGTACATATAAAATAATGCTGCATTAGACTTGCACCATAAGCAGTAATTCACCTGGAATTATCTCATTTTCCAACTCGGCACATTTGAGAGCCAAGGTGAAAAAAATGGATATTTCCATGCTCGTCCTTTGAAAGTAGCAAGTTAGCCAGCGAGCGGTGATAAGTATAGTCAATGTTTTAGATTCAACAAAGGCAAAACTTATTTCAATATTTCAAGCTACTGTATTTACTGCTGATGCTGTGAGCAGCCATATTGCGTTGATACAGATTTTCACGCTGTAAACGGGGACGGAACTCGAAGTTGTGAAAACCACCCCGAGCTGACGAGTTGGAACTTCAAACTGTCGTGTTTCTTTGGCTCTGACATGCTGGAATTTGGGAATAACAAGTTGCGACCTCGAGTCAAACGCAGAACTAGCTGAAACATTTTCTAGCACTGAAGAGCCTCAGGGGAATAAAATTACTGATGTGTTGGCATTTCATATTGTGATTTTACTTTTTTTAAGAAAGAAGGGTTTGTTGAAGCAATACAAAAAAACAGTAACAGCACCATCTATAGCAAATAATGAAACAATATTTCTTTTAAATAAAGAATATTTAAAAGAAGTGCTTTTTGCAGTATTTGCTATATAAAAAAAAATTAATCATTATTGAACACAGAACTAGAGCACAAGGGCGAGGCTTCCAGGAAATATCTGTTAATATCAGAGAGCTCAAAACAGCTGCACAAATCATTCCATATTCACATGTTGAGTGGCTCATCTGCTGTTTAATTGGGTAGAAAAAGACTGCTTTTTTGGAGTAATGTTGCTTGATAACTCACACTAGTGTTATTATTCCTGAGTTCCAGCTCCAGACTGTGGGCAGAGGTCAGAGGAGACCATCCCAAGTTCTCAAGTTAAAGGGGCATTTCCTTTAGTTTTTCTTGGTTGGAGGTCAGGAATTAATGCGGTGTTTGACTCGAGGTCGCAACTCGTAATTCCCAAACCCCAAACAGGTTTTCACAATCTCAATCCCCAAACATTTATTTGCAGCTTAACTTGCACTCATGAATTCTTATGTTAGCATCATAGCACCAGGGCTAGCATAGCATAAGAACATTTGAGCCAATTACAATTGGACACTTTTTACAAACAACAACAAAAAAAGTCCCAAGCTGGACAATATCACTGTATGATGTAGGACTTCAGAGTAAAGCACGTACCTCCAATGCTAAGGCAGTTTTGTCATATGCACAAGGGACTCGTTTCTGAATGGCTCTAGCCATGACAGGCCCATTCTGCATGGAAGGTAGCGGGTTGATGACGGCGCCGGGTGTGCCAGGAGGCAGGGGCGATGGTGTCTGAGGCTGAGCGTAGGCGTGTGCAGGCTCGGGTATGCCGTAGCTGTTCGAGTTGCGTGACCCATGACCAATCGTCCCAGTGTGAGGCAACGGCCTAACTATCTTTTCTACGTAGGGGACGGGAATCATTCCAACACGGCCCTCCTTGCTCTTTGCGCTCCACCACTGCTCCTCGGGCTTGTCCAGAATTATCAAGATTTCACCCTTCTTGAAAGGAAGATCCTCTGCGTCACTGCCAGTGAAGTCATAAAGAGTCCGCACATACTCCAGATTCTCATCGCCGGGGCCGCCGATGGGTTGAACAGGGCCGCCGGTTAGAGCTGTGCTGGGGTACCTGGTGAAAGAGACATTGTTCTTAGAAAAACAGAATTATGATACTTTAAGGACACATCCATTTAACCATGACACTCCAAATAAAAAAAATAGTGCGGTATATAAAGATAAACCTGTCTTCTAGAGACCATGCATGATCCTACCTTATGACCAAAAGAAAAAAAATATTTAAAAAGGGGTGGGGTTTGGGGGCCTGGGTCAAGCCGATTATGTGTCCATGCTATCTATGTTTTTTATTTGCGGGTTAACAAACTGTTTTTATTTGGGATGTAGACTATAAAGCTTTTTTAAAACTGTGGTGTCACTTAGTGAAGGAAACACAATTACAAATTCTCTGCATCATCATCGTCAGTAGAAGAGTGATGGGTGGTGGGTGATCTGGCCAGTCCAGTTCACATCAAGAATGCCATGGTCCTATATTGAGTAGGTCCCCTTGTGCTGCCAAAACAGCTCTGACCCATCAAGGCATGGACTCCACAAGACCTCTGAAGGTGTGCTGTGGTATCTGGTACCAAGACATTAGAGGCAGATTCTTTATATGCTGCAAGTTGCGAGGTGGAGCCTCCATGGATCGGACTCGTTTCTCCGACACATCCCTCAGATGCTCGATCAGATTGAGATCTGGGGGATTT